TAATCATGGAAATAAAAATTACAATATGTCAAAAGTATTGGGTTGACAAGACATTAATTAAACCCTATTTCATTCCCTAGTCAAACAATTCATTTGCAATTTCTTTTTATCTTTTCTTTTAAATTGAGTATGTACTAGTATTTTTGTGTGTACCACACCCAGATTCAAAGTCACCTAGCAGTAGATTTAACAATTTTTTTTTTTGTGTACAGACAGGGTCTGGTCAAAATATTTGTCTCAGGACAATTTATAAATGGACAGACCTTTAGTTTTAACAGAAGTGTTATTGTGTACCTGTCGTCGTTAAAGAAATATTTGACAAAAACAAATAGCTCCATCCTTTTAGTGGTAAATGAAAGAAATAACTGAGTTGGGTTGAAACAAGTGTTGATTGTTTTGAGTATGTTTAGAAAGAGTTCATGATCAGAGCAAGTTTATATGTCACATGATTATATGTATTTACTTATAGACCTGTTAAGCCTCTAATGGTCACACTATCATTAAATACCCCCGCTGACAGTGAAAGATTTAAACCCTGACAGATCATCCAGAAACCACCCCAATTTTGATGGTCTTGTTCAACTATTTATATGACCCTGAACCATAATCTACCTGTATCCCATTTGTTTCGTCATAAAAAAACAAAACAAATTTGCTTGTTGTTACATAGTCAATATGTTATTTGAATTGCAACTGTAACACTTTGCCAGTAGTTTTAAACATTTTTGAAGTAAAATACAGAAATTATCATGGATACGTACAGATATACAACAACCAGAATACATGTATATATCTCTCTATTCGAAACAAATGTTAAAAATATTTTTATTCAGTGTTTATTTCATTGTATTCAATAACATGGACCATGCCAATCAATCTGGGACCATTTCAAACTTTTGGATCAGACCTGGGTCTATCCCAGGGTTCTTAATCCATTCTCAAACGAACCGGCCAGAATTGGGTCAAATGAGGTCCCGGTAGGAACTGGGTTTTAAAATTTTAAGTTTCCATTCCCTTTAATATAACCAGACTTCAACAAAAATAATTCTTGGTAATTTGTTATGAGGAATATCGTTTTCTACTGTATGTAATTAGCACCAAAATAACAACAAACAGGTAAACCGTTTGGAAAATTTTCCATATTTAATTCATGTACAAGCTTGAAATTCATGCCGGTAATATTCACGAATAAATTACTGTATTTTTTTTTTTCGATGGATATAAGCTGATACGGCACCATGGTATTTCTTCATAACACAATTTGTAGGGTTTTTTTTCTATCAGGTAACTAGTAAATGTTTATATTCATTCGTCCATATGATAGACACACAGCACAGTGATCATGTTACAACCAAACAATGGCTTTAAAATTAAATTCCATACAACTATGCCATTTATAGCTATCAATAATAATATTGACAATATTTTAAAAACTAAGCCTCTGTCAGCATGTGTATAAAATAACAAATCATAAGGGTAAATGGCATTTAAAACTAAAACTAGCATCACTGGTTTATTGACCTAATTCCAACCTATGACATGTACACATATCATCAGGGATTTGGCATTGGAGATTCACATAATATATTATTAATGACTGTTTCTGGGTGTTTTTGGTGTTCTATCCGAGGATTATATTCCACTGGTCAGTGAAACCATTAAATTATGATCCAATTATTATTTTAATATCTACCCGTACACCTGAAATTCATACGGAGCGTCAAAGATGCGCAATAGATGCACAATCCATGCCGAGATCATCCTCCTTTGATTGACACGTGGCTTATGTCCTTACTGAACCTGTTCTGAATAATCAGAAAACTTATTTTGTTTTCTTACTGGATTATCAAAATTAAATTATTTGTGCTGATTACCGTATTATGAACCACATGGCCGATTCTCGCTAAGTTATGACTGTTATTGTAGCCAACAAGCAAGTTGATTGAATACTTATTAATCAACAAGTTATAATTAACCTATTGTAAGTTAGCCGAAAGTATATTGATTTATGATGCCATAGTGGCAGGTTCATTGTTTTACTAAGCAGCTAAAGCCGACAAAAAACAGCCGATTAAGATCCCTGGTCTATCCAACCCCCCATTTTTAAAATAGGGGGTCGGGTCTAAATGTTAAGTTAGGCCACCTGCAGATTTTGTCAAGGTCACAAAATCTGCAGGTGGTCTTAATATTTAGACTAACCCTGCAACTAGATATCTAAAATACCATACATGTACATCTTGTTCTTCAACATGTCAACAAGACAGCTACTCACAAGCAATATCAAAACACTAAAGAAGTACTTTAATGTTTAAAAAAAAAAACAATTAAAAAGCCTGCTCCATTTGCATGTATCGTTAAAGCGAGAATTTCATATTTTCTAAAAAAAGTCAAAACATAATTATTTCTATGTCTTTTGCTCAATAGGTTGTCAACTCACTATTATACGATCATGGGCATAATTTCCCACCCTTAAAAATCACTGACACAGGAAATAATAACACAATTACCTCCCTTGTTTTCCTATTACCTCCATGGAATAGCTATTTTCAAACATTTGAATTTGAAGCTGAAAATGATATTTTTGCCAATTTCTCAGCTGGCAATAGTGAATTATAGGATTAATAGGATTATTCTTTAACAAGGTAGGACTGTTTATGGATACCATCTATTTTAAGGCTTTATTTTAATAAATTTCAAAAATATAACTTAAAAATATGAAATTGTAGATTTAATGCTGTTGAATTAACACTAAGCACCGTCAACTGAAAACAAATTTCTATTGATTTGTCTTTAAATTCATTTAGAAGATAGGAATATGCAAAATCTTTAGGACTTTTAGAGTTATTTCAAAGAATCTACAAATACCTTTTTAAAAGATTATAAATTTTTGATGTAGTGTTGTAAAGTGGTACAGACTTTAAAACTGAAATTTCTATCAAGTCCATGTAAGATAATTTTTGTCAGATTATTAGTGTAAAGTAGATAAAGATAATTTATCACAGAAAAGGTTATGAAAGGTCAGGTGTAATTAAGTATATATTTATAGAGTGTAATTACTGCTGCAAGAAACTAATTCTTTCCATAACACAAACCATCTTTAATAGGCCATTCAGATGCTTATATTTAAATTACATATAGTTTTAAAAACACACTTGGTTTTTAAGCCAGGAAAGTGTAGCTTGACATGTAATATGATCCAAATTATTTGAACTAATTTGACCTCATCGACTAAAGGTTAAAGTTCATTAAGCATGGGCATTGGGCACTTTTTCATTATGACAGGAAGATAACCTATTGTGGTTGCCCAAAGCTAGCTGGAGCTTGTGTTTTTAAACCAAAGCGTTCAGATGGCCAAGATAAACCAGCTTTTAATAAACATCTTCTTGAAGACTGGGCCCTTATTCACGCAAACTTAAACTAAGATACAATCGAAATTTTAAGAAATATTGCAATTCGATTGGCTGACCAGTAAAATCAATTTGCATATATCCAATTTGCATATTGGTCAGCCTATCGAATTGCAGTATTTCTTAAAATTTCGATTTTATCTTAATTTAAGTTTTCGTGAATAAGGGCCCAGGTAGAGAGAGCTGTATGGTGTTCTATTCCAGCCATTTTCCGTGTTGCGCAACTTCTTTGAAAAAAAAACATGCATCGCTTTTTTCAATGTTAATTTTAAGCTATAGAGAAAAAAACGACGTCAACTTTTTAACACAACGTCACCCTTTAAAAATTTTAAGTTCAATATCTATTAACAAAATTTACTCACTGGCAGAATCATAGTGTTCAAATAATCACATAATGTGTGCCGTAAATATGGCTTCTCATTTCATTGGTTTGTTTGAAAGGTTTTTAGTGTAGTGGTGTTTTGTTTTATGATTCCCATGATGCAATATTAGAGCTAGTCTGTGTATTTTATGAAGTGTTTCATGGCACTGGGGAAATTGAACTAAATACGATTAACGAGATATGTTTTATGCTGTAATGTCTGAAGTATGTTTGTCGATTGCGTATATGTCACTCTGACCTGTTTTACATTTTATTTATTCAGTCTGAGAGTCGATGGAACTGATAAACCATTTGGATAAAATGATTTAAATAATGGCAACCGGTGGCAATCTGCCAGTTCTAGATTCAATTTACATGTACAACTTAAAGAAATCCCAAAAGAATTGTTCCCCCAAGATAACCTAAAACATTATTTCTTGTATGAGTAGACTTGATGTTAAAATTTTATCCTACACATTGAGATAGTAATTATGTATTATCCAAAGAGATAAATTCAGTAACTCCACTTGAGATAACAAGTAACTTCTAATGGTAGAATATTGGTCATTGTTCAGTGTAATTTAGGTGACAAAATATTTCTGCTTAGATAAATTTATCTAGCCAATATCGTGTTCGAATTATTGGGATTATTTGCTGAATCATAAACTACAAGATCCTTGTTGCAAGTTATGCATCAGGGCAACTAATTAATGTTATTGACAACTTGTTTTTAATGTTCTCTTAAAAGGAAGATTGATTTTCGAGCGTAGCTTCCCCCTTGTCACTGGGGCAGCAGGACGGATGGCCTGGCGCTGGCAAGGAACCGTGTGTCTAGTCATTCAGATGGGACAAAAATCTGTGGTTTTGTGTACGTGTCGTGCACATAAAAGTACTATTGACAGTTGGAATTCAGTTGCTGTCCAGGCAAAATTTCCTTCATACTTCATGGTACACTGTATGGTGTATGCTTGTCATCATTAGCCTGGTTGATGCAGAACAGTTGGATGTTAAAACCCCATTTCATTCATTAATTTCTTGTTTTAAAACTTAATCATGGGAGTCAAGCCAAGATTTCAAATAACAAAATTTTATTTTTCATTATTTTATATTTGCACTGGGAGTGGATTTTGCTAACTGATTTTATTTACTTTTTTTAAGATTAATTTTCAAGATTTTTATGTTTTTTCCTTTGGTTGCACTATTTTTTTTTTTGTTGTATTTCTCTCCCTCAGCGGTTCATTTGTCGGATCCTTGAAGAGAACTATGAGTCTGGGGCGATTAAACCGTAAACGCAACATGCCAAATAAATCAGATCATATCAGCAGCACCAATGACGTCTCTGTTTCCACAACTGACGATATTAATGCCACTCATCACCATAACTTGTGAGTAATTCTATTACTTTATTTCAGATTATTTCATTTCTGCTTTATTTTTATATCCTTGCTTTTAATTTTAGATTTTACTACTGTTTTTACTTTTCGCTACTATTCCCACATTTGATTTATTAACCTAACCTTACTAATTTACAAAAACAAGAAGCAAACAACAAGGTGAAGATTGGCTAAAAACCATCCTGAGATGTGATGTCATAATTGACTATTGTTATTTGATAATTTAGAATTATGTACATAGAAAAGATAGTAATAAGTGATTTGTCAAAACAATTCCTGAAACTCAGACTAACATTAATTCCTGGAGGGATGGCTGACTGAGTGGTCTACCGGTAATATCTGTGTTATAGATCATAAGATCTAATAAAGTACTGGGATCAATCTTGGGTTGGTAGGTGACAAGGACTAATGATGCGTGGATTTTCTGTGGGTACTCTTACTTCTAAAGACCCCTGTGTACTCTCGATCTCATAGATTTAATTTATCAAATTTTATAGAAATATTTTTCTGTAAAATTTGAATTGACAAGAATCAGACTTTCTTTTGTTTCCTGTACTATTTCTACAAAGTTTTAATTACAAATATGTCCATTCAGATAAACAAGTTTTTGAAATATTAAAAAAATTTATATAATAATCTGAAATCACATGGATGGTCTACTTCCTCTTTGTAATCAAATCTGTTATTATTATCTTAACTTAAATTTTGACAACTTCCGCAAGTTTAGATTTATTTTTACCTGTATTCACCTCTATTTCCTTAAACTCCCAGGTGATTTACATATGAGATTTAACTAATTACTTGGGGAATTTATTCTAAAATTCTTTCTCAGATTTTGAGAGAGAAAAAACAATATCCTGTTCATTAAAAGTTTTACAGCTTTATATATATTGTAAGGTTATATATTGTTAATCTTAGTTTAAACTTTTACTGTAGTAAGTTACAGAGGTGATGAACCACTTCCTTATGTTGTGTTCAGGTTCAGGACTGTCTTAAAGCAACATTGGAGCCCCATTCTATTTTATTATGTTGTGACTTGCTGTTGATAAATAAATACTATACTAGACTAATTGAGTATCATTTATATGTTGAAATTACAGTGTTTTTCAAATCTCATGTTAAATTGTTCAAACATTTGATTAATCTTTGCTGTACAGCATGTTTTCATGTGGACGTATTATGTCGTCACCCTGTCCTTGTGTCCAATGTCCGTTCACATTTTTTTTTTTGTGGACATTCTGCAGGTTGGTTACAATTTTTATCTGATTTTGATGGTACAGTTTTTATACGCCCACATTGAAATGTGGTCGTATATTGTCGTCGCCCCCGTCCGTCCGTCGATTGACTTTAAATTTATACACAGTGTTTAAGGTCATGAGACGAAGAAGCCTATTGATTTTCAGCGATTTCCGATAATTACTGCCAGAATTATGGCCCTTGATCACTTCAAAAAATCTTATGGATGCTCTAATGGCCAAAGTTAATATCCGATTGACATTAAATTTATACACAATGTTTAAGGTCATGAGACGAAGAAACCTATTGATTTTCAACGATTTCCGATAATTACTGCCAGAGTTATGGCCCTTGATCACTTCAAAAAACCTTGTGGATGCTCTAGAGGCTAAAGTTAACATCCGATTGACATTAAATTTATACACAGTGTTTAAGGTCATAAGATGATGAAGCCTATTGGTTTTCAGTGATTTCCGATAATTACTGCCAGAGGTATGGCCCTTGATCACTTCAAAAAATCTTGTGGATGCTCTTGAGGCTCAAGTTAATATCCGATTGAGTTTAAATTTATACACAGTGTTTGATGTCATGAGACGAAGATTCCTATTGGTTTTCAACGATTTCCGATAATTACTGCCAAAGTTATGGCCCTTAAGTTATCATCCGATTGACTTCAGATTGATACACAGAGTTTAAGATCTTGAGACGAACAAGTATATTTATTTTCAATGAATTTTTATGACTTGAACAGTTAAATCTATGATATTAAAAGCTTTGCATACAAAACGTTAGCATGGGGCAGAACTTTATAAAAACCAAACAAATTCTAATAGTTTTCTGATAATTACTTCGTGAGTTGTTGCTCTTAATCAGATTTTAGTGTATTATAAATGTTTCATTACCGAAAAAAGTAAAAATATGCGACAACCCTTGTTGACTGCCCGGACGATTTAGTTGCTGTGGGCGTATGTTTCGTTGCCTGGCAACCTATCTTTAACAAGTTTATTTTGAATTTGGTATGAAGCATTAGGATCACGAGAGAATGAGATCTATTGATTTTCCCGGTTGATTCTATCGATTTTACTGGTTATCCATTAATCAGTTGCAAAATGTTGCCATATCTTGCATGGCAACCTCTTGTTGGCTATTCAGTTAGCTTTTATTATGGAAATTATTTCAACGGTTAAAGAAAAATAAAGAGCTGAGACTTGGTTGTAGAAAGATCATTCCAAGCTTAATTACCACGTGCTCTACAGAAAACATGCAGACCATGATAATTTTGAGTTGTATTACAATAATTTCAAAATGGAGATAAATTTATAATTATCCACAACATATTTCTCACATTTATCTATTATAAAACTTCTGAAGGCAGAATTGTAACCTAAATCCTAATATTGAATAACGAATTTGAATAACAGACTTAACTTCACAACTAGTGATATTGTTCTCCTATCTGACGTTCATCATTAATAATGAACATAACAGTCAGTAAAATCCTCTTTTCACAAGTATTTATACTATTCTATAACTCCAATTATGAGCAAATGACTTACATATATGTGTAATATTTTATAGTTGCATGGCGGAGGTTGATCGTAGTCATGTTTGGAAATGGGGATTTTAAAAATATGCTAGTAAATTGACTGGTGGGTCCCAAGACATTTTGGTCAATATTTAACTCAATGGTTGAATCAATGAAGTAAAAGGGTTAGGTGTAGCATCACAAGGTGTTCAGAATAAATGTAGGCAATGTTGATGTTTGTTTGTTTGTTTTATTTAAATCATCTCATGTTTTTCATATCATAATTTTCATCAACAGCCCATGTGAGTGTGTCAAACGTACACCTGAAAATCTTCAAACCTGGTAGGACATTATTTTATATCTAATGAGTTGATCAAATTTCTTTTTATACACAAATAGTCTGTCAACAAACATCTTTGTCAACCTGCCAGTTATAAAGATACATCAGAACATTCAACAAAAGTATTGGTATAATTCTTTCCATTTCAAATATATCCATTTTACCAACCAGCAAAGATCTTCAAAGCCTCTTTGATAATATGAATTTTAAAATTTTATAATTTAGTAAATTTAATTTGGTATAAAAGAAATTTTTCAACTCTTTGATGTGTCGTATATAGATTAGATATGTATTTCTTTCTTCTTCACTTTCCAACCTTTCTCACCTCATCTTTTATATCCGTTCCATTAATCATTGACAAAATAATTGGCAATAATCTGTTATTCAAATTTTATCTAATTGTAGTAAATGCTTTTATTCTAAAATCATAGATTAATGATGTCCATGGATATTTCTATTTTTGGTATGATAAACATTGTATAGACTTGTTCTAACATCAATATATTACTCTCAACCTCTTTCATAAAAGACCCAACATGCCAGAATAAAACCATAAACAATCAAAAGTTTCTCTTTAGATTTCTCTTCTACTACCGGTAGTAATAATGTTAATTTCTTCATACAAACCAACCTATTCTTATGAATTTTTTTTTTATGCCTAGATGTTCTTAATAACATACTAAAAGTCATTAATTTAAAATACTAGATATTTCTGACAATCTGACTTCTTAGATATAATGTAAACAATGTGGCTGGTTATGCCTTTAATTTCTGTAAATAAAGATCTTTCCCTCTAATTCTTTTACTCCCTGAACATCCAAATAAAAGGAGTAACACTTTTGTGTCTTGTCCTCAGGTTTGTCTTTCCAGTTTTGTTTGTGTGTAGTGCATTCCTCCTGCATTTACTAATAAATATTTATGTTATGAATAAATTGCTTATTTGCCAAAAAGTAAGGATTTGTGCATACTTTAACTACGGTGATCCTTGAACACCATATTTTTACAAATGCGTTATATGTGAAAGTTTAAGATTTATGTATAAAGCTGTATAATTCACTTTTATATGTACCCTGTTTTCTAGTGTAAAACATCAAATTTAACTAGTTTGAAAGTTATAACACTAGGTAGGATTTAGGAGTTCATGTAAGTACCAGGGTTTTTTTTAGGTTTATTTAGAATGATTTATGAGGATAGTTTTACATGGAGTGTAGATGAATTACATGTTACTCTTAATTAATCTTGAGTTTCAAATTTTGAATTTTATTCAGTACTCTTAACATTCAGAAATTTTTGCAAAACTTTCAAAAATTCTTAAAATTATTTTCCCTGATTGCATTTCATTTTGTAGAGTTAAATATGAAATTATTTAATCCTTCAGTGCTAAAAGGTGGAAATCACTTTTTAATTTTTAAAATGATGCAAAATAGCTAGGGTAAAGTTTTAGATGGGTTCAAGATCAGATCTTAGGACAATTTAAACATTCAAATAATTAGACAAAAGTTACAACATTTAAAGAAAGGGACAGAATTATGTTAAATATTATCTAAGTAATGTTAAAGGCTAAATAAATTCGCTCCACCAATCAAGTAAAGGTTAAAAGAATGGAATGTGTAATTGTAAACCTGTGTGAACTCTCCAGTCCATGTGCTACAATCTGAAATAATTTATAGTATATAGTAGATAATTGAAAAATGTGTCTTAAAACAACTCTGGGTTATGTAAATATTTTTTAGTCTGGGAGTAATGATAATTAAAATTCACTTGGGCTTAACTATAGCGACTGTTTTTGGGATAAAAACTGTTAGATCCAGAAATCACCTAGTTTGTCTCTCTTTTATCTTATTTTAGCTGTACATAGTGACAGGTGTTATGCACTAAGCAATATATCCTTACTCCATATGAATGTCTTCATTAGCTTGGTTTGGTGCAGAAAAGTAGGATGTTAAACCCCTCCTTTTTATTCATTCATTTATACAACACCTGATACCACTTCTTATTTATCTGGGAAATTCTGTTGTTCTGGTGTTTCCAGATTTTCTTCAAAAATATAATTTATGCAATTGAAGGAAGAAGCGGTTTACTTTAATTATCTTCCATGTTTAAATCTTATCATGATATACGATGTTGGTACAACCTCCAGAGAAATAAATCCTGGGTAAAGATAAGGGCTGTGTGATTTAATTAACTATGTCTAACCAACAAGAACCAGTTACATCTTACCCTTTATTGCCAGATATTTTATATATTTTATAGCCCCACATTGAAATATAGTGGTATGTTCATGTTACCACCACCACCATCAGTCCATACATTGTCCACTATTTATAAACACTCCAGATAGGGATTTCAGGTCAAAATTTTAAATGAGAAAATATACGTAAAATGCTACCAAAATATTTTAATTAGATCCAAAGTTATGGAATTTTAAAATCTGAGATCAACATCAATAATGTAATCAAAATGCTCTATACAGTCAATGTGTGCCATCGCAACAAGATAAGTGTTTTTCAGTCATATCTGAGTGACTTCATAAGCGCTATTTTCCCGTCAGAATTGCTAGTACAAATTTTAAAACTGAAATCTGCATGTTATAGTCAGCTAAGTTTTATAAAAATCATAATAATTTGAATGATAATATGTCAAATATTTATGATCTGTTTTCAGTCGGCAAAACAGATAACTCCCATTTTCTACGGCTGTAATTGTTGTAGCTGGGGGGGGGGGATCACGTGGGTAAGATGCTGGCTCGCTAGCCTGGAGGTCGGGTGTTCGATCCATGCATTGGCCGAGAAAGTTCATCTAGATATTCTGGCGTGGTTCCCCCTTGTCAGTGATGCAGGACGGAGGGCCTGACAAGGACAGCTGTCTAGTCGTTTGGATGGGACGAAAAACCCAGGTCCCCTGTATACATTGGAATGCATGTAAAAGATCCCTTGGCAGTTGGAATTCGATATAAACGTAGGCGATAGTGCCGCTGCCCGGGCAAAATTTCCCTCATAGCTCTCTGTATGGCATATGCCCATCTTCATTAGCCCAGCTTGGGGTACCATGCACCATAATAATCACAAAAATGTTATCTATCGTTTGATTGGTCCTATGTTGAAATCCCCCGGAAACTAAGGTGCGGATTCACCAATCATGTGACATCAAAGCACTTTTTTCCCGCGAGCATCTCCCGTACATAAACGGTAATTTCGCTTACATTTCGATAATTTTTTAGCCTGAATATTTGCAGATATTGAAATTGATATTAAACTATTACAATACAATTGCTACTAATACATTTAAATAAAATAGTAATTCAGAATCATAGATTGAAATCGACTATATTTCAGCTGCTGGCTGTCAGATTTCACGCTAAAGTCACGTGACCCAAAACCCCTACTCCAGAGGCTAAATTAATACACAGTGTTTAAAGTCATTGAAGCCTATTTTTGTTTTATGTCATTAATTTGGAAGTGTGAACAATTTCCTTCATTTGCTTATGAAGTATAAATTGAGTGCTCAAGCCTTGTTTTAAATGATCTATAAATGATGATGTCATTGACTACAATCAGCCAATAGAGAGTGTGTTGTTATATAAGAAGGATATATAGCGGAAGGATATAAACACTTCTATGTTGGCATTGAATATAGGTTGAAATTAGACCTTACAAATAATTTCCATAATACTTTAATTTAATGACCTTATTTGGCAGAAATGGAATTATTATGTTCAGAAGTAATTTAATACTTTTCCTTCTATTTCAAATAGATTTTGATTTCATAATATGATCATTCTCTAGTTGTGCAATAAAAATATTGTTATTAACATTTATTATAATATATACAATCACATTATGTAATCTAAGACAAAAAAGTCCATAAAACAAATTCTGATTTCATATGTAAAATAATGGGATAAGGATACCATTTTTATACACCCACATTTTCATGTGAACGTATATTGTCGCCACCCCTGTCCGTCAACAATTGTTTGTGGACACTCTACAGGTCACAATTCTTATCCGATTTTGACGAAACTTGAAATATAGGTTTATCTCCATAAGATGTCGGGTTCCTTTTGAAATTGAAGCATGTCGGACTGTAACATCCTGGATTATGGCCACAAAATGTGGGCTTATCTTGCATGGCAACCGCTTGTTACATGTACCGTGTTCAAAACTGAACCATTACTATCACACTTAAATTAAAAACTGTTAATGTAAACGGTGTTAAAGAATTTCAAACACAGAAAAGGAGGATGTTAAACCCCAATTCATTTCAATTAAATGGATTGGAGGCCACAAGCATTACATTTTTTTAGACATATAATCATCTTTTATTCAATTTAACAATAGCAATATATTAATATAAATATAAAACTTTATTCAACATGTCTTGTTGGTTCTACTGCAATATTTATTATTTTTATTGATGTGTATTGATCTGGTGGAAAGTTACTGGTCGTAGTCGACTACCTGTATTAGTTTATTCATATGGTATAATTTTACTAGTCGGAGAAGGCTACCTGTGTCAATGTATTTCTGTTCAATATTCTGATTAGCTTGCTCGCTGCTTGTCATCTGTCGATAGGTGAGTCATCATTACAGGTCTACCTTAACATCGGATACTATGCTAACAGATTATTTAGTATCAAGGATTATTTACATGGACAAACGTTATTTTACAGTAAGCTCTATTCATTTTTGTAGTTTTTATTAACAATTGTTACTGGTCTTTCAATAATGCTTGAAATGCAAATATCTTTTAATTAATAGGATTTATTTCATGCTTCTGCTATTAATGAGCCATGGGGTAGAGACCCCCACCTCTTACATTGGGGGCCCCTAAAGGGAGGAAAGGCTCAGCTGCCCCCAGTCTGTCTCCCATTTCATCCTTTGTGAATTGCTTATCTTTACAAATATCTGAGCACTATTATGGCATGATATCCTCAATGTCATCAGATGGCTGGTGATGGTGGCATCCATGAGGAGATGTGTTTTGGAATGTATGGATGCAC